TTTTTAAAAAATGTGTTTCTAAAGTGCATAAACTTTTGGCATTGACTGTATAGCCAATACATCCTCAATTATCCATCGTCAAATGTTTCTTAACGAGTAGAATTAGAAGGAAATTGCACAGGACCGTTTTTGTATCTTATACGCTACATACTAGTACATACCAATAAAACTTGAGTCTTTTTAACCCACGATCTTGTAATTTACAAGATCATGGTTTTACCTTTCAAATTAGAGCCCGCGTACAACTAACACGGCGAATCTGTTGGTCCTGAGGTCATAGGAGCCGACACCGTGAGCGAGCCTACTGTTCTTTTTTTTATACCGTGCCCAGAGCGTTGCATCTTCGGCGGTTAGTTCAATTTAGCCGGATATATACCCCATTCTCCTTTCGGTCGGTCTTTGTCTTACCGGGTGGTTTCGAGGGCGAGCAGCAGCAGCAGCATCGCCGCCCGACGGTCCGTGGAGGAGTTTCACGGGGGCGTAATAGGGAAGGGTGCCCAGGGGGGTTCTGTCCATCCTTTGTATCGTCGAGCAATCACGACCTACCCCAGTAGAGAGTACGCGTACGCGAACCGTGTACGCGAATACCGTCCTCTCTCCCTTATCCTCTCCCTTTCCGCTCTCCTGGCCTCCCTTCGCGAACCGGGGCGAGCCCGCATCCACCCCCGGCGCTCCGTTCCGACCCTCCCATGCCGCCCACGTCATTTCGCGCTCTGTGGGGTTGCAAATGCATCCGCGATGACTGCTGCGTACTCCCGGAATGACTGATGAACTGCAACAGCGTTCCTTCTGCCTTATAGGCGTGTACAGGACGTTTCAATTACGCGACCTCTCTCTCTTCCCGGTCTCTGCTTTTTCATATTTCGTTTTTTCCTTCTCCGGTTTCCTCCGTTTACGGTGTCTCGAACGACGCAAAGTCTGGATGTAGAGAACGGAGCGACCGAGTCGGAGACAGAGGAAGAGTGGCCGATGACGAGGCCAAAGAGAGACGCCGGCGCGGAACGCCGGGGAAAAGTCGGGGGACGGGGGGGGGAAGAGGGAGGAATTTATTATGTCCTCCGGCGAACTGCCCCCTCGGTACGATACGTTACAACAAGTACGCGGGAAATGAAAAAAAGGAAGGAAGAGGAAGGGGAGGAGAGGTGCAGCTAGCTGCTCGCGGGTAATTAGATAAAGCCTCGGTGGGTGCCGCACCTACGCGCACGAAAACCGTCGACGAGACCGTGGCCCAACAGATTATTCTACTTGCCGAGCAGCACCGGGGATTATCCCTGCCGCCGCGCGCGAATATTTAATTAACTCGGCCGATTTTTTAACTAATTAACCGGCGGCACTGTTTCGTTTCATCGAAGGCGTTTAGGCCGCCGCACATTATGTTAATTAACATCAATTGCCCTCTCCGTATTTAAAATAATCAATTTATCGCTGACCGGTCGACTTCGATGTTCGTTAAAAATTGTTCTACAAAAACGGTTTGGCACACCTGCCGCAGCGCCGGCTCGGCTTCGCCCTTCGCCGAAGCAAAATTATTATCGCATGCACACGAGCATTAATTCATGAACACATGGCGTAGCTTTTTATTTCACCAAGTACTCGGTACTAAGTTCACATTTTATTACTTGTCCAATGTACTTGTACCGAAGGGGATCATAGAGAAGGCGGTGGGTCGGAATAAGCAGGAGGTACTGACCTACCGTCGGCTAGACGGTCAGTTCTCTCTCGGCACATAGCTCCCCTGTAATTTGTTGCATCGAGCACGCGTTTCGTTCTTTTCAGATAATTATTATAAATCTGCCGATCCACGAAGGAACCCCGGGCCGAGCCTTCTGTCCAGGAAACGAGACGTCACGGGCTATCATCCCTCTAATCAGCGAGCCACGCGGCGTAAAAGAAGTCGAAAAGGCCTTTACTCGGAATCGAGATCGACTCCACGCGGCTCCGCTGTTCACCGGAAGATCCCAATACACTTTTCCGAATAAGTTTTTCATTTTAGCATAAGAATTTCAAGTTGATTAATAACATTATATACGAAGCTTACTAATAACTTATTATATACAAAATATAGTTTGAGAAGATGAAATATAAGTATTTTATCAATTTATTTCTATAAAACCGAGTTGCGTGTATTGCACGCGGATGGAAACGGGTTTGGAATCATTGAGAACGGACGGGCCGGTCGACGGCCGCCGGCAAGAAGCGGAGGCACACGCACGATGCTGCTGTTCCTCGTGACGAGAAGACAGAAGACGGCCGATAGAAATAAACGAGAGGACCGGCCACGGACCGGATCGTATAGGGGGTTGGCGCGGGGAAGGGGGTGTGCAAGGGAGGAATAGATAGATCGGAGGTGGGGGATCGAGTGCGACGATCCTGCGATCGAGCACGTGAAAAATTTTGTCCACGCTGCACTCGCGTGGGAACACGCCCATATTCTACCAAGCGAACATCATTTCTCTTCGCAGAGGTGACACGCTTTTTTCGCACCTGACTCGGACCCTCGGACATCGTGCTACCATTTTTTTTACCCTATCGGATCGATCGCGAACGTCGTCCAGTTTTATGCATGGATCGAATTTCTTTCCTACGCCACCAAAGGACTGCCGTCACAAGCCAAAAATGTACAACGGTAGTTCGTGAGAGAAATCTTCTCTCGTAAGCAACGAGGAGTAGCAGCGATGAATAAGGGTCAGACCATTTTTACGTGGCGAGCGGAGCCGCCGAAAACCGAAGGGGATTAGGACCGCGCGCGTCGGCCTGCAGGAGAGTGGAACGTTGCGCGTGTCTGATCATGAATCGGAGCGACTACTTGCGTTCTCCGGCGAGTGGCGCTCGATCATTGAAAAGATTCGATCGGAGAAGGTGCCGCGAGGTCTCTGATTCATTTTCAGAAAAAGGGACAGGTAGAGAGGCGAGCAGGGGGACCGAGGTTCGTCCCTGTCGTGAGAACACGACGACGTCCGTTAATGGCGGCATTATAAGCCGTTTCTCGCGTGTGCATCGGTAAAGAGGTTGAGGCGCCGAGTAGGGGAACCCGAGACGAGCGAGGAGGGAGGGAAACGGGTGCCCGATCAACGGAGATGCATGCGAAAAAAGGTGAAATTACGTAAACATCTAGCAAACGACGATTACCACACACTGGGACTGTATGTATGGGTTCTCGGCGTTCACCTCTGCGTTCGAGGCGCCTGAAAGAGACCGCTATAGCTTCGTCGCATACACTTGTGCTGGCAAGTATTTCAAGATCCCGTATCTAAATATCTATTTCGTTTCAAAACATCCGCGGAACGACCATAAGATCGCTTGAAAATTGAAGTGGAACGATCGTCGATTCAACGAGATATTTATACTTTTCGTTTAGTACCGTCTCCTCGTCACTAATTGTCGTACTTATGATCGAGAGTGTACATGCATATGCAACCCGTTCGAGCATTGTACCTACACACTGGCTGGCGAGTATGTAAACCTGTTCCTTTTTGGCTCCGTGGAATCGTTTGCGAAACCGCGGTGCGTTCAGCGATTCGCTCGATTCGCAGGCGGCTCACGAATCTTCGCCGAGGCTGGGCACAAAGAAGCGGAAGCGGGTGCCGAGAAGATCGCGTCGCGCCACGGAAATTGGACCAATCGTTGCGAAAACGACGTTGATACACCGAGGCCGGGCTACGCAGAAGTGTTAGTTTGCATACGATAAATATTAACGACGGCGCGCTCGGCTCCTCGCGCAAATATTTGCGCGATCGCGCGGATCGCGGTGCGGACGATAATTGGTCTAATGAATGCGCGGCCGATTGATCGATTCGAGGCGCGATTCGCCGCGAATTTCGCGGCCAGGAGGCGGAACGTACGAAGGCCGAAGACGCCCCGGTGCTTTTTGTCATTCGACGGGAACCTTGCTTACGAGATACGCATATTTATTGCCGCGGAAGTCTATCGATTACTATTTTAACGGCAAAACACTTCTCTCGCGTCGTTGCATCCTACAGCGAATAGTTTCGGAACAGCCATTCGACTTTCAAACAACAATTTCAAAATCCAGAAGGTTTTCAGAATTCGATGAGATCGGTTTTCGCCTTTACAGTGGCTAATCTTTTAATCGGCATTGAATGTCACGTTGAAACGATTCGAAGATGAGCGTTAGAATAGCCATTTTGGGTCGGCCATTCGAGTCCCAATTTCGTGACGGTCTTTTTCGGAGGACCAACAGAGGCCCGTGTGGTTTAGAAAGGGGGACTCGAGCTCCGGTCGACGGCGATTGGCCGCCTAAATCCACGGCCATAGTCAGCCGCCCGGGCCCCTCCTGTTTAGAAGGGCCTGACGTCATCCACAAAGCCAATCTACTCGAAGGCCATGCGTTCGTCGCAAAGCGTCTCGTCCGAATGACGCGTGGTTGTCTCGCGAATCGATTTTTCCAGCAGAAACGTTGATCGATCCGCGTGCACTTTCGTCATCGTAAAAAAAATTACCTGTTGTTCCGCAAAAGATAACGTAGTTGCGAAAATGGTAGCTGAATCGATACAAATCCTTTTGATCGGAAACTCAGTACGTATACTAAATCGATTCGTTTTATTATAAACTTTTCATGTCACAGTTGGTGACAACGAGAAGGAATAAATAGGAAAATGATTAAGGTTCAGCTAACGCCTGGTACGAAACCGATTCAAGAACAGCTATCGGATAACGGATCGGCGTAGCCCTGAATTATATATAAATCTGTCCCGTAAACTGTTTTTTTTTTTTTCTCTCCACGCCGCTCGGGAGTGGCTCCGTGAACGCGACTTAAGGTCGCGCCGCTCCATCGCGCGCTCCCCGCGTCTTTCTATCAACCGGCGGCGATTCGACGAAATCGCGCGAATTCGCTGGAATGGGTTTTTGTATCGAACGAAAGGCAGAGAGTCCTACTTGGCAGCGGCGAGATCGGTTTGGTAAGATTCGCTGCCTAGAAACCTACTTGTATCCGTTTCCAAGCGGCCACGTACCAACCGCGGCCGACCGACCTTCGACATCGCGGAAGTCCACCTAATCGCGAGGAATCGTGTTTGCTCGGACGGTTGGGCACAGATATTAAATCTACCGAGCCGTATTCGCGAGCTTTTTTTCACCGCGGCCCCTCTGATAGATATCTAATCGCGCAGCGATATCACGCCACCGATTTGACATTCGATAGTGGCACAGACGTCCGTGGCTCGTCGCGAAACTATTGTTCGCGAAATCGAAACGGCATCGGTTCTCGGGTAGCCTACGAAAAAGTTGGAACGAAAAAAATGTGCGCATGTATATTTTAGCTAACGGTTGATCGGGCAAGAAACGAGGTGGGGAGGTCGAACTTTGACCGTAATATGCGCGCAAAGAGCAATTATCCCGAGTGGGGAACTCGGTGAGGTAGCGGGGTAAGAAATTGTGCAGCTTACTTTCAAACGGTGGCCGGTGGCTCTCAAGGTTCTTAAAACCATTGGTAATGCATTCCAATCGGTTGCACGAAAGATAGAGAGAGGCTCGGAGAGACGGATTTAGCATTAGAATCTACAAGGACAACGCGCTAGTTGGTTGCTCGTCGAGCTGAATCCAGAGACAAACGACGTGCAACAAGCCGAGGAGAGAGAAATACCTTCGCGAGACAAATAAGATTTTATAAAAAGATAGTATACAACGCGCGCGCACGCACGCGTATGGACGCGTAGACTCTGTAGAAATGAGCGAGCGACCGGGACTCGTTAGAATTCAACGCTCGCGTTCCCGTAATACGATGAATAATTCCTACGGGCGGAAATTAATTTGGTATTTTTCTCTTTTTCCCTTCGCCAGGCGAACGAGCGGAACTCAGAGAGAGAGGGGGGGGAGGATGGGGGGAGCGCGAGGGATCCGCTGATTTTGGGTCGCGATCAGGCCGCGGTTTCCCCCAACGAGGTTCGCGGCGCACGCGAATCCGAAACGAATCGTTCGCCGTTATTATCTCCACGCTGTTGGATTCGAATTACAATTTAAGATTCGACGCTGCCTAGCGCTCACGGCTATGCGTATGGAAATAATTATTCGAACGAGCTCCGACATTGTCTCGTACGACGAGCGGTACGTGCGTTTCCCGCGGTTCTACTTCGGCTAAATGGCTAATTATGTCGTTTCAGTAGAATTCCTCGGTAAGACCGAAAACGTTTTGATGAGCCTCGATATGAAAACTCAAATAGATAAGAGCCACGGAGTCGGCCGATCAACATGTTCGATAACGGTGCTCGCATAAATAATCCGATAATATTAGCAGATGCGCATCTCATTGACTAGAACGTATCTTTTTTTTTTTCACGATGTCTTGCAGGCCTACTTGTGCAAATTAGTTGCGTGGAGATACGCGTAAACGCATTTAACGTTTCTATTTATATTTTCAAGCATCATTGTCGCTTTGCATTAGCCGTAATAAATCATCTAGCGATCTCATCTCGTTGGTTGATTTTCTATTCCGTTCCCGCGCGCAACAACTATTGTTCGTCCATGAAATTTGATTTGCCGAATCGGTAAGCATCTCGTTTAACTCGCTACACTTTCGGACGGGGATTCGTACGGCGCTTAACCGGTAAATCGAACGTCGGGCAGGTGCAAAGGCCACCGGTATCCGCGCATCCAGTTCTTGTTCGCCGACCGTGTAACGATCCAGCTTGTCGCATTATTCGCGGCTCCTTATACTAGTATGTGTACACTCGCTCGGCTCGCTCAGCAACGATCGTATTCTAAGCACGGCGAGAGACGAGGCTTCGCCTAATTCGCGTCGCGAAACAGTCGATCGCGATTACGATTCATTATCCGCGCGGGCCGGTATTGTCTGCTACGGGGGACGCGGTAACGACAGACCTTTGTTCCTGCTACTTATTGTGAAACTGTAACCGACGACGACGACTACGACGACGGCGGCGACGACGACGATGATGATGATGATGTCGAAGCTTAGAACAAAAAGGTGGTGCGATTGTTGTTGTTCGCTCACCGAACGATGCCACCGGGGCTCGCGACGCGTGTATAGCTTTCTCATCTCGACGTAGTC